TATTGCGTTAACTGTGTGTTTCAATTTTTAGCTGTTGTTAAAGTTTTACGCATGAAGGGAAGTTGACAAAACGCCATTTATTGCGACATTCAAACATTGCTTTTAATTATTTATTTCCATGAGGTACAGTCTTTTGAAATTAAATAATATTATATAAAGTATATTAATTAATTTAACATACGTCTTATTAGTATTTTTATAAAGTTATATACAATATATGGTGAATTACATAATTTATGCCAAGATATTTTTTTCTATTCTTAGGCGATCATGCCATAAAAAGTCCTCTTATAGAATAAAATAACCAACTTTATACAGACAATTCATACAATGTACAACATTTTCATGTTGAAATTTAATAGTAGTTCCCTTCAGATAGTTAATCAATATTACTGGTCCATTTGAAAAAAACCAGCAACTTTTGAATTTTGCTCAAATTATCGACGTCACTGTCAAATGGTCGTTGCAGCTGAAATCGAATTTTCAGGTTATTCATAGGTAAGAATTGTATGTGTGACACAGTTTAATCCTCTAAACAGTATTTAAGTATTATCTTTATCCAAAACCCAATATAAATATGTGCGAATATACCTAGTTGTTTGATTGAAAGTTATCTTACAAATAATTTTATATGAAACCTAGTTCTTGCATTAGCAAAAAAAATCAACTTGGTGATAACAGATTAACTTATTTTAACAAATTCCCTAAAGAACTTTCTCAAACGGAGTAGTGGCTGACTGGAATAGGCTCCCGGAAAGTGTAATCAGTGCACCATCTTTGAACTCTTTTAAAAATAGATTGGATAGTTTCTCCAAATCTCAAAATACGCGCGCAACAGAATATTAAGCTGTATATACATAATAATAATAATATTAACACTTGGTTTGTGACGCTTGTCTTGAATAAATTTATCACTCTTTATATATAACTACTTCCATTTGAGCATACTTTTTACTAAAACCAATAATATAATTCCGATTAGTCATTTAACATCAATACGATACTTGGTATGTATAATTTTTAACGTAATTTTCCGTAGAACTATTATTGTATTACTGTCTAAGTTCGATCTGTTAAACTGGACCGGCCTGCCACGATATGGGATTTACTTCAAACTCACTGCGGAAATTGATTTCAAGAGGTTATACCGAAATGTGAAGCTGACGGTCAGTACAGCACGCCATCCGCTATGATTTATCTTCACTTAGATAAAACCTCGTCTCAATTGCCAATGCACCTCGTCTGTTGGATACGAAGCTTTTAATAACTATTTATAATTAAGTTGCAGTTTGAAAGTTTATATCAATATTATATTAGAATCAGTGAAAAATAGAATCAGTGCGGACTTACATAAGCTAACTGTGGTATACTATTACTTTTTTAGTGAGTTTGACAGTTTTTAAAATGAAAGACAAATTTTTTAAATACAAACACGTCCATTGGATAACCTCTTCAGTTTTTTAAGTCGGTTATAAAATAAAGATAGTCCTTACTTATTTTTGATGAAAAGGAATACTTGTTTCTTTCATTAAATATAGAACACGATTAATACGGAGGAGCCTTAATATCAAGGATTGGAAAAGTTCAGAATTGTTTAAGATTTTTGTTAATTTCTCTAATGGCGGAATTTAATAAGGTTTTTTTATAAATCTTCATTTTCTATGTCGACAATATAACTACACGACCACAACATAAAAGATAATGTTTCAGGTTCAACTTATTGTTATAACATTATGTTGGAAATTTACAGCGAAATTCGTAATTAAAAATTAATTACATCATCTGCCTTAAGGATCAAACTTTTTAAATTTGTTTTAATTTTCTCTTTATTCTAATTATTATTATTACGAAAAGTGTAAATACTGTATATCTGTGTGTTGGAATTAAAAATTTCATTAAAGTATTACATCGTTATTAAAAATACAATTCACCTCAAACAAATTTTTGTACTATGTCAAATTCGATAGGCAAAAACGTTTCCCACACTCCACAATTACATCCCACAGGTAAAAAATCCAATATCCAATCTTATTAAAACGGAAATTCGTTGAAGCGAAAAAATACAAAAGAAAGAAGGCAATAATGTCTCGTGTTTGCGAGACGATAAAACCTAGCTATTCGGGTGAAAATCAATTCCTAGGTTAACATAACAGTACGCGAATGCTTTTTGTCGCACGTCGCTTGACATATGGGCCTAATGTGTAGCTAGCACGATTGCTACCGAGTGATCTACAGCCACACTGCTATATAGGCGTCTGTGAACTTTGCAGCCAAACGACCGTGACAAACGTCTGCGTTTGCTGACGAAATATTGCTCTTATTTTATAACAAAACACACATAATTTAGTACAAACGTATTTTGTCGCAGCTTGCGTTGAAAGGGTTTCATTAAGCTTGCTTTATTATCGCATAGTAAAATACTTTTAATTAAACTAAAGAAATGGTTTTACAGTCCTTTAAAGAAGTACTTGAGGGGTTTATAACATCGATTTCAGGTTGAAAAGTAAAATGTTTTTTAATGAATTATACTTAGACTTTAATCGCGTAAATAAGTAAGCAACTTTAAAGATATTCGAGTACCGGTAAAGTAGTATGAATATTGTAATACGGGTACTTTACATCGGTTACAAATATTTTAAAAAATCACGATACTAAGTTTAAAAAATTTTTTTGGCTTTATTCTATTTAAATATACTAAACTTGAATATAATATGTATATATGAAATATCTTCTTTGGGTTTGCGCAAAACTAAGACCTTTTCAAATAAATTATTTACGCAATCGAAAGTTAGCTTTTTCACTGTAACTATTATTAGAAATGTTTTTCCTATTGAGACTATATACACTGTAAATCTAAATTTTTATGCAGACACAGAACCCCCTGAAACATCAAACTCAGAGGCACAAAAGACTGAGTGATCACTATGTGATCAGACTTTCATTGCAAATTGAACAATGGTGGATTAAAGTTGAATTTTTACAGTCGCCGCTTATTCAATCGAAAAATCAATATGGCTTCTAACGAGACCAATTTCTCAAAGCGAAAATTCGAGAGGCTACGAATAATAACCAACTTCGAATAAAATAGTTTTTAAAAGTTGACAGTTTGGCACCTTCATTGTCGGACTGTTCAAACTGAGTTCAGGCTTAAATTTTTCGCTGCCTGAACATTTGACACGTTAGGAGAATGTTTATAAGAGTATAAGCGTGAAAGGGGATTTTAATTCATTCAATCGTGTATGAAAATCCCAATATGCTTTCAATGAATCAATAAGCATACCGCCTGAATCACCACATAGTATTGTCTTTTTTTTTTAATTTTATGGCAGGCGTTATTGTTATTTATCTTTCAAAGAGAAATAAAAGAGCTATGTTAGTTTCTCGTTAGCTTGAAACAACTTTTTTTAAATCGTTGACAGTTTGGAAGCTCCAAATAGACAGTATTTAGTTACTATTATTATGTTTTAAATGTATGGTAAGTATTTTGATGCATGTTACTCATTTACGTCAAATTCTCAATGGATCTGAATATGAGGTCGCAGATTATTAACTCACTTACACAGAGTTCGATGACAGATATGATTTCACGCCAAGTCGGAGCATAAATTTAGTTTTCTTCGTGTTGAATTTTGACAATATACACGCCACATTGACATGGCTAAAAGTGTTGCATTTTCTTTGCACTTCCATAAAATTAACATGTATAAAAGCTCGCATTTGCAATCAAGATCACTGGCGATAAATGCCGATCTTCTTATAGAGTTGTCTATAACGAAAGCTCTTTCACATGTAAATAAACGCGTGAGCCGCGAGCCTGTTGAGTTTTGAATCCCTCTGTACCATTTCCTTTCCAAATGGCGGACATGAAACTCGTTTCAGATAAAGCATTTATTTACATTATCACTTACTTTCTTTAATCACAGCCTACCTCTATTTCTTGAATAATCACATATCATTAGTTTATGTGAATTTAAGTTGAATAATACTTTTAAATCTATATTAACGCGAATTTATTTATTTCTAGTATATAAATGAAGTCCGTATTAAAGCTAACTGAACATGATTGCGAAAAGCTCTAGACTATAAGTATGTAAATAATGTTATTAATTTAAATTTAAAGGAGTTTTATTTATAATAGATGTAATCAATTTCGTCTTCCACATGCTGTAACTAAATGTCTGCAATAAATAATAATAATAATCTTAATTCATTTCTCACAAAAACTTAGTACATAAACGAGTGACAGTTAAATACTATTTATGTTTATATGTAAGTGATGTTTTCGAATGCTGAATATGAATCTATGACCGCAAATTAACATTTTATCATACTATGAACGAATACATAATTAGGAAAAAAATATGTTTCAGACAATAAATGATATGGACTGATCAGTGATCAATTAGTTAGAATAGAAAAACAATATTTAAAACACATATAGAAGCTTCTAAGCAACTTGGGAACGTAGAATTTTAGTTATGAATACGTTTGCATTTAAATAAAAGAGAAAATAATATAAACCGATTATTTAAAGACATAATTATATAAAATTTTAGTATATTATTCATAAAAAATAAATCAGTCAAATTGCACCGTTTTAACTCCTCTGTCTCTTTTCATCAGAAAGAAAAAGAACTTTTACTGTAAGAGTTGAAAGAGTACTATGGTTAGGGGTATAGCTAGAGCATTTAGTTATTATAAATAAGGGGTTTTCACTGTATATGTCAGCACGGTTGTAAGAAAATTGTTTGCAAACTAACTTTGTGACAATATTGATAGAATCTTCTTAATAATAACTTAACTTCGGAGTTAGTACCAACACTATGAAACAACTTCCATAGAAAATCAATTAGTTTGAGCGTTGTTCGTTTACGAAGTTCTTTATTCAGTTACCGAAGTTGGTCCAAACTTACCTGGAACCTGCCTGTGGCGCTCGCGATATCCCAACAACATATTTTCTTAGCTATGTAAAATTTTTACCACTAGTGAGGTAATGCCACTTATTTTTTTATTTTTGGAATGGAGTCTTGCCGACTGCCTGAAGAGCTTTGACAGTTCAGCTCGGGATGTTTTGGTGAGTGTAGCTCGGCCGGAATACGGATTGTTCCTGCGACTACTGCAAGGGCGTCTCCTGCGAGACACGGACTCTGCTTGGGCAGTCGCGAGGTGGTGGTAGCCTTAAAGACAGGACGGAAGATCACTGGAGTGAGCAAAGGGTCGTACGTATATGATCCCTCACTCTCCTTCCTCTTCCCTTAAAGTTACCTCTTTTTTGAGCCGGAACCGAGACGAGGTGAGCGAGAGCACCAAGGTTACTCCTGGCAAAAAAACTGCGACGTTCTTTTCGCGATTTATTTGGTAACCCCATTTCTAAAACTATTGGACATTGGGCGGCGGTCGCCTAACAATTAAATGTATGTCAAGTACAAAATACTGAGGAATCGGTAAAACGAATCGATTTTCATTTATCAACTCAAAAATCACTTGGAAATGGTACTCTAAAAGGACCGGACAGGTACCGATTTCAACAATTATTATATTACAACGTCATCTAACGATGAAAATATATAGTTCTTTTAATATCAGCCCTGGGTTTTTTTCCCTCCCTTTTCCCCCCCCCTCTTCACACAGCGGTTTTCTATCGGCGGTGCAAGAAGTCATTTTATGATTTGGCCTGAAAAGGTGGGGGCCTTTTATTTTTTTTTTTTTAAAAAAACCAAGAATGTCAAATAATTATGACGTTCATTAAGAGCGACCGATGAAAAAATATAGTTCTTTTAATATCAGCGGTGAAGTAATCTTAATATTACCATCGCTTTTGAAGTTACATAGTAAGAAGAACTTACATGAACTCCGTAATTTAAAACATTGTGCCTTGTTTGAATATTTTTAAATAAAGCCAATTTCCGACTTTCCGATACTGTGTAATATACCTATGAATTTTATTCTTGTATTTCATATAATTTAAGATAAAATATTAGGTTATAAAGAGACAAGTATTACACTCATTATTATTCGGGCCATATCTAAATTATGATAAAAGAAAAAATAATGAAGCGAAAAAGATAATCACCGAGGGAGTTCAGTCACATTTCCTTTTAAGAACAAAGCTAAGATTAGACGTACTTTGAGGAAATGAACCTACGCCGCCATTTATTGTTTTTACAATGTTATAACAATAAAATTGGGTAGGGGAAAACATTTGAAAACTGGTCATTTTTAGAATTTTAATCGGTCACGACACAAAGACATTTCTGCGTCTGTTTTATTTGACGTTTTCTTTGCATAGCATATATTTAACTCGAAGAAAATATTTTTTCCGGGAAATGAACCCAAGCCTTTAGGATTAAACATATATTCACAGAGGTATATAAATTATGTATATTTATGTTGTGAATATTATATAATAGTATATGAGCCTAACTATTGCCGTTCTGCTTTGTATTTTTTAATAATTGTTAAAACAACCGTCGCACTGTTAACATAGTTGTAAAGTTGGTAATAAATATATTAGATTAGATTATTCCTTACATATGAAATTTTGTTTTTTTTGCTACGATGTTCTCCTCTTGGTAAGGAATTCCAAATTCAATTTGTACAGTATTTACTCATGTATTTGTGCTTCGATGACCGTCATTCATTTGTTTTTTTCTGTTTGCGTGAATGATGTGTATGGGGGTGCAAAAGAAAACACAGTTCGTTTTTTTTCCCCCAACGTTTTCGTTCTGGAAATTTCGACCTGCAAACAAGCCCCGTAACGGCCTGAGACCCGATAATGAAGTATTGAAGGCTATTGTGAAGCGGATCATCACTCCGAGTTAGTTGCAGGCTGGGTGTTAGTGATAAAACTGTTTTAATTCCCTTTAAAAAAAATTAAAAAATTTAAAAATTTTAAAAATGGGAAAATGAAGGTATTACAATCATTACCTTAAAGGATTCTTTACGATAATCGGAAGCCGCTCAGCGTAATGGTTGACCCTGGCCAGCCAGCCAAACCCCCCCCCCCCCCAAAAATTAACCCCAAAAAGTTACTTGTAAGCGTTTGTGGACTAGTGCCGGTATTGTCACATTCTCAAATCTGATCTATTGGTATGTCTATTGTCAGCAATTGCAAACATGATGGAAAAGCTAGCGTAAGACAACCTACTGGTCTCTCCCCCCTTCTTCCACCCTGACCACACACTGCACACAGACGGCTACCAAATAAGAAGGGCTTCAATTGGGAATGTCTAAGACATCCTCGTACTCCCCGGACCTTGTATTACCATTTTAATCGAAATTTCACATTCTTGAAGGGAAAAAAGATAAATCTGATGGGGCAGTCCAAATTGCCTAAACAGATTTTATTGATTCCCGTCCGACTGGTTTTTTTAGTAAAGGGATCAATGAACTACCTATGAGATGGCAAAAGTGCATAGAAAATAATTAAAAAAATAGTTTAAAATAATTCAGAAATACAAATGCTAGAATTTTGAATAGTACCTCCTTATGTAACTATAAATATACCTTAATCTTAATACTGTGGAGATGTATTTTTTTATTTCAAGATATAAGCCGTTTAAAATTGTATGATCTTGTGATAAAATATATTAATCATATCTTTGGTGTAACTTGAGTTTGAGCAATATCATTATTTCTTAGAAATGATGGATTCGCCAAAACCAAATTGAAAATTCCAAATTCATTCGAAATAAGAGAGATGAAAAATAACTAATTTCTAAGAATATAGATTGATTAATGTTTACGAAATACTTGATGATTTATTCAGACAACTTCGTTTTCAATTCGCAACCTATCAATTCTGAGGTGTTGATTTAGCTATCTAACTTAATTTGATTTTATATTGAGTTATTTGAATTGAAATTAAATTATGAGAATTTTAAGGAAAATAACGTTTTGATTACTTGAAACCACGCTTTGAAAAATGAGTTGATTCACAGAGTAAAACATTCAGAAAATAATAAATTTCAAACATGTATTTTTATCCGACATCAAAGAAGCTTCTGAATTCATCTGATGTCTACTATGTATGGACTAAGTTCAACATATTTTTATTGAAATTGTTTAAATAAATATTGTCATATAAATATTTAATAAATATAAAAAATAAATATTGTTTAAAGTTTTGTTTAAAGAAATTTTGTATTACACGACTAGTATGACCGCCCAGATACCGCTTGACGGTCCTACGAGCTGGTGGAAAGTGTTTTATTAAAATAGTGATATTTGTAGTTCGACTGGACTTTCCATTTAAAAAAATCAATGGTGCTACATCCTTCTACGTATGGGCCTCAGATTTGTGTATCGGTTTCGTGATCATTTGTTTCTCCTAATGGGCAAGTTGCTAGAGCGCGGGATAGAAGATGGACGCTGGAAATAACAGAATGGACTGGACCTACTATGGAAAGAGATGTATAGTTCGACAAAAGAAAAGATGGACAGATGACATTATAGAATTAGCGGGGAAAAACTGGATAAATGTTGCTCAAGACAAAGAGAAATGGAAAAATATGGAGGAGGCTTTTACCCTAAAAGGGGCCATACAAGAACTAGACCACTAAAAAATAAAAAATAATCTAACATAAATTTATACTAACAGAACTAATACTAATATTTAGGAATGCAAACTAACCAATTGTTGTATGGATTAATAAAGCATCCGCCTGCTATGCCTGCCATTAACTTTTTCTGTCTAAGGCCCGGTTTTCTCACGATGGTTTCCTTCACTGTACGAGCCAGTGATACTGTAGACAAAAAATCCATTGGTACACATTCGGGGATCGAACCTACAACCTCAGAGATGACAGTCGCATGCATGCACAAGGTTGCTTCTTTTATATGTGCCTGTGGATTTAAGACAAACATACACTATTTAAAAATAAATACTTTCTTATATTATTGAGTAAATTCGACTTGAGTTTCTTGAACTCAGCGTGTCATGCACTAAGCTAGTAGTAGTATTGTACCGGTACCGTACAAGGCTTAGCCTGGTATCAAATCTAGGTTTTGCCTGTTTCGTGACATTTATACAAAAAGCAAACTTTCAGGAAATACTTAACATTCAGCTACGAAGTGCTACGTTTGTGCTACGTGGTACGCTACGTGTTTTTATGTATGGGTTTTTTTTAAATTTTATGACTTATTCATAAGACCTAAAACATCCTATCTACACTTTTTAAGTTCCTTTTCGATTCTCTTAAACAAAATGAGTTTACGTGACGGAAGAAGATAGAAGAGGATTAAAAGTGTAATAAAACTGGTTTCGGTTAAAAATAGGATTTTGATTGAATTTTACTACGTTGTTTAGTACCATTCTCTTAAAGGTTGGCAACACACCCGCCATCCGTTGCCGGTGTCCAAGTGAGACCGCACTTTATTCAAATTGACCCAACCGTTGCTTCACCAATAAGGAAACACCCTCCTGTCCAATAAAAAAATGAAAAACTGTTATGGATGTAAAAATTTATTTTAGTAAAGGAGCATACGTGGCTTATTAATTAATATATATTAAAACATAAACATCGATATGCCAACAAAATAAAATCCAAAAAATATTGAGGATGTTACAAAAAAACGGTTACCTTCAAAGACTTCAATGCGGAAAGGAAAACCAATATCAATATTTCTTTTATTCGAAACGCTACAAGCCATCGCCAATAAATGTTGTTTTATGATTTTATATTTAAAAAAAAATTAATTCGGCTTTATGTAATCCGTTCTCCCCCCCCTCCGTTCTCTTTCTGAGAACTGGCAGACTTTTTTTAAAGAGCACTTTGTTGTATGAACAAAATATTTTTATATTTTTTGAATTATGGTAGTACCGTACTCAAGTACTTACTTAATTATACTTCATTAATTAATAACATTGTTCAGAACCTGTATTTTACATTTCTTTGGTAAATGTATTTCTGGTTAGTAGTAAATGTTATCACTTTTTGAAGTTATACTTCTTTACCCTTATGAAAAATTGATGAGAGTGAAATTTTACGATCCCCCTTACCAAATTTCGAATGAAGTTGCCCTCGGAAGATGCTACACATTGGACATAATTTAAAAACAACATTCGAATAATAATGTTTAATTTTAAATTTAAATTTAATATAATTTATGTTACACTTAATGTAAGTGAATAATAATAAATATTTATTTATTTAATTTTTCAAATGTAAACTGAACTTTATTGACTATAATGACTCCTTTTCCAGTCATTGATTATTTAATTGTAATTAATTATTTGCATGCAATCAAAAACTATTTTTAATAATGCCAAAGAAGTACAACTTCTTACGCGCGTACATAAGTACACGCACCCTTTTTTTTAAATTACTTTATAACAATCATATAGCCGCAAGAGAAGCTTCTAGGGTA